ATGTAAGTTGTAAGAGTGTAAGAACAAAACCACATAGCTCAAACCTGTACAGAATAATCAACAAAAGGTGTAATTTTTGCACAGATTAATCTAGAGTCTCTGTCACTGAGCTAATAATTTAAAACAGAATTTCAATTCACACAATCTGGCAGTATAATGGCTATTAAGAACATGATTTAAGGAGTCAGCCTGCCTGAACTGGCATCTCATTTCCATCCCTTAGCAATACATCTGCAAAATGGGAACAAAAATAATGCCTCATATTACCAGCTGTGTAAACTTGGGCAACTACTGAGTCTTCATTTTCCTTATCAATGAAATGGGGATAAAGCACCACTATGACAAGGTACACATACCACTGCGTATAATTGTGAACACACAAGGGGTATGCTCATTGCATCTTCCCACTCAAACCATTTCCTGAAATTTTCCTGAGATGTCCAGAAAGATTTCAAGAGGTGGAGACTCCTAGGGGAAAAACAGGATTTGGAATGTTGTGGTGACAGAGAGGAACAAAAGGGACCAAGGAAACTTTGACAGAAGGAAAGTCGATGAAGAAAAGAGAGAATAAAGAAAACTAAAAGATGAGGAGGGGGAAGGGATGGACTTCAAGAGAGTAAAGATACAACTCAGTCAAATACTACAGAGATTAAGGACAACCAAGACTGTAAAAAATCAATAATGATCTTTGACAATCTCTATTATAGTGAAATACATTATTGAAAAACATCTTGGAGGTAACTAAAAATTCCCCCAAAGGGTTAGCCTTTTAAAGTAACACAAACAAAGCCTTATTTTAAAATTTGTGATTAATTGGTACACCTGAGTTAATGTTGTTACTTTTGTCCTATTCAAAGGATTTGATAAAAACAAAGGAATGTTTTATTCATATTTATTTCCTTAATCTTGTTTCTAAGTACTTAGCATCTAATTTGTGCAGCTCTTGTGAAAATTACAAATGATCTTTATTTAGAAAAGCAGGTCTGTGGGGCTTTCAACTGGAAGCCCTTCCCTAGTTCAGGTGTGCTTGGAATTAATGGTCTTTCCTCTTTCTTCCAATTATAAAGAATTAGTGGGGTTTTAATAGAGAACTGCAGTTATGATATTATAATATTATAACATTCCGTCAATTATAAAGAATTGTTGTTAGGTGCCATTGAGTCGACTCTGACTCATAGTAATCCTATATGATGGAGTAGAACTGCCCCATATGGTTTTCTTGGCTATAATCTTTACGGAAGCAGACTGCCAAGTCTTTCTCCCCCGGAGTGGCTACTGGGTGTGTTCAAACCACTAACCTTTTGGTTACCAGTCGAGTGCTTAACCATTTGTGCCAACAGGGCTCCTTTATAAAGACTCAGTGGTGCTTTAATACTTAGCCACAATTGAGCAGCCCATAGTTTGTAAAAACTCCTAAAGTTTCCTGCATTGGGAAGGTACAAAATAGCAATAAGAATACTTTCTTATCCAGTATGCTGTTACCTATTTTAGATGAGTTGCTTCTTTGAAGATTATATGAAGATCTCTGACTTTGGATAATTTTGGATTTTTAATTTGTGAGAAAGCACTCAAAAAAGACCCAAGATGAGATATTTGAAAAGTACACACCTGAGTGTCAATGGTGTCAATGTATTTATAAGTGCCAGCTATTTTCATTGTAGAGATAAACTAACAGTGATTCTCAACCCATTTTATGTCATAGCCCAGGAGAGAATGACAAAATTTATACACACTCTGGGGTAAACTGAGGATACTGATCACAACGAAACCTAGGGCCTGAGGCCTCACTCATCTAAACTGTTATCTCTGTCATCTGGTGCCCACTTCTGGCACAGACATTGGAGATTCAAGCCTAAAATATCAGTGACTGGGTGTAAACCAAGGTCGAAATCTTCTAAAAGAATTTATCCATCTGAGATGTTGTGATAATTTTTGGAGTGATAAAATGTTATCTTTCTTCTTCTTCATGAGATAGAACGGAACGTAAAATAGTAAGAACCTCGGTATAACCATGAAATAATCTGCTCATTTGTGTAACTTTGCATAAAGCCCAGAACTATAATCACAACAACGTTTACTGACTTGTTGTTGTGTGCCGTTGAGTAGATTCTGACTCATAGCGATCCTATAGGACAGAGTACAACTGGTCCATAGGATCTCTGAGGCTATAATCTTTATAAGAGCAGACTGACAGGTGTTTTCTCCTGTGGAGCTGATGGTGGGTTTGAACTGCTGACCTTTCAGTTAGCAGCCTAGAGCTTAACCGCCAGGGCTCCAATGACTTGATGGACCAATATCATTATGGAGAAGTTGCTAATACTAAGAAATATATAAGACAGAGGTGACTGTTCAATCATTCATCAATTCAGCTCAAACACTAAGTACTGTGTTAGGTATTGGAGATTTGTTGTGTAATTTGGGCTAAATTATGGTGTCATTATGTAAGCGTGATGTACAACATAAGCACACATCTAGATTTTCTTAGGCAAACAATCTTAGATTTTTCTAAGATCCTATCTTAGATATTTCATAGCTATAGTTGATTTGAAGTGGCTGACATCTTGGGATGGGGATTAACCATTTAATATGGTGGTATGTTGCATATTATAGCCATTTTCCAATAAGAAATCTAGAATAAAAAAGGAAATGGACTAGATATAAAACCATCTAAACAGTGTTTCCCAAACTTTTTCACATCAGGGTATCTGTGAATGATAATATTTTTATAGCAGAAGTGGGAAACAGCTGAGGCTGCTCACAGGTGGAGGCTGTCCTGTGCTGTGGACTAGGAGGATCCGTATCTTGACAAACACGTACTTATTCGATTACTAGTGTGCCATGTCATACCAGCCAAGAAATTGATCCAAATCATGCAACAAATGGATAAACCTAAAAAATCAAACCTACTGCCATCGAGCTGATTCTGACTCATGGTGACCCCACAGGGTTTCCAAGGCTATAAATGTCTACCAAAACACAATGCCACATTTTTCTCCTGTGAAATCACTGGTGGTTTCGAACCGCCAACCTTTCGGTTAGCAGTCGATTGCTTTAACCACTGCACCACCAGGGCTTCTTAATAAATGGATAGATGATTTTTATTTACAAATCATCTAACAGTAGAGAATATAAGAAAGCAGAAAATGAGTGCTAATTCTTCCACCTAGAAAGAGAAACGTTTTAATAAATAGGGCAATGAAATCAGAATTCCAAATTAGAAAGATAATTCTAGCCCGAGTGTGGAAGTGGGACTGAAGAGGGGAAAAAAATGGAGGCAGGAAAATGAATGAGAAAGCTATCCCAGTTATACAGATGAGGGTGATAAGGACCCTCAACTAGGAGGGGAGAGGAAGGGCAACCTAGAGGAATTGAGAGATGGAATTAACGAACCTAACCATCTTTTGCGGTGGTGGTCGGCAGAGGATACATCTAAGATGATTTCCAAGTGAGTTCTGTTTTTCAGTATGAGTATCTAGGATCAGTGTAGTCAATTAGGTAGAGATGTCTGCTAGTCAGCTGTTCTGTGTCTTGGTTAACTAGTGCTGCTATAAACAGAATTATCACCAGTGGATGGCTCTAACAAAGAAACATTTATTTTCTCACAGTTTAGGAAGCTAGAAGTCCAAATTCAGGGTGTCAGCTCTAGGCGAAGGCTTTCTCTCTGTGTCGGTTCTGGCGGAAGGTCCTTGTCATCAATCTTCCCCTGATCTAGGAACTTCTCAGCACAGGACCCTCGGGTCCAAAGGACGTGCTCTGCTCCTGGCGCTGCTTTCTTGGTGGTATGAAGTCCCCACAAAATATGTGTCATCTTGGCTAGGCCATGATACCCAGTACTGTGTGACTGTCCACCATTTTGTCATCTAATGTGACTTTCCTATGTGTTATAAATCGTACTTCTATGAGGGAGGATTAGAGGCAGTTATGTCAATAAGGCAGGACTCAACCTACAAGATTACGCTGTATCTTTAGTCAATCTCTTTTGAGATATAAAAGAGAGAAGCATGCAGAGAGACAGGCGGACCTCATAGCGCCAAGAAAGCAGTGCCAGGAGCAGAGCACGTCCTTTGAAACCTGGGGTCCTGCGATGAGAAGCTCCTAGACCAGGGGAAGACTGATGACAAGGACCTTCCCCCAGAACTGACAGAAAGAGAGAGCCTTCCTCTAGAGCTGGCGGCTTGAATTTGGACTTCTAGACTCCTAAACTGTGAGAGAATAAATTTCTCTTTGTTAAAGCCATCCACTTGGGGTATTTTTGTTATAGCAGCACTAGATAACTAAGACAACCTACATCTCAAGAGAGGGATCTGATACAAAATTACAGATTTGGAATAGTAAGTATATGATGAGATAGCCCAAGGAGAGCATATAAAGAGAAAAAGGGCAAAGGCAGAATTCTGGAGATCACTAACATCTAGGGAACAAGTGGGAAAAACAACAACAAAAGGACTCAGAGCAAAGGAGACTGAGAAGGAAGGGTCAAAGAAGGAGGAAGACAACTATGAAGAGAACTTTGGCCTGGACACCAAAGGAGGCAAATGCTCCAAAAAGAGAGTGGTAAACAGCACTGCACATCACAAACTAGTCAAGGAAGTTAAGGAGTAAAAAGTGACTACTAGATTTAACAGCTGAGAAGTCTCTTGAGTCTTCTGCCCTAGCACTTTCAGTGAAGAAGTCTGGCTCATTGTGGGCAAGAAGTAAACAAGAGAGTGAATGTATGCTTCCTGAAACTTGGCTAGCGTGGAAAAGAAAAAGCTGGGACAGCTAGAAGGGGAGACAGGTTTAGTGAAGGGTGTATTTTTTAGGATAAGAAAGGAGTAGGAAGGTAGGGGAGCCCTGGTCGTGCAGTGGTTAAGCTTTTGGCTGCTAACCAAAAGGTCAGCAGTTCGAATCCACCAGCCGCTTCTTGGAAACCCTATGCAGCAGTTCTGCTCTGTCCTATAGGATCGCTATGAGTCAAAACTGACTCGATGGCAACGAGTCTGTTTTTTTTTTTTTCTTACCTGTTTCTTGGAGTCCCTGGGTTGTGCAAACTGTTAATGTGCTCAGCTGCTAACCTAAAAGATTAGAGGTTAGAGTTCACACAGAGATGCCTCTGGAGAAAGGCCTGGATATCTACTTCTAAAAAAAGCCATTTAAAATCACACGGAGCACAGTTATACTCTAGGGGTTGCCATGAGTCTGAGCTGACTAGATGGCAACTGGTAAAACTGGTCCCTGTTTTTTCTCAGCATAAAGTCCAATCATATACTGTGAACACATTTCTACCAGAAGCTACAACCCAAGTATGCAGCCTGCTGTTATGACCTGATAAAAGGCATAAAGATGAAAGATTTCATAATTCTATGGAAATTCTGAAAGACAGCTTGGATATATATTGTTTGCTTTTCCCTTCAGTAAGTTGGTAAACATTAACCTTGCTAACCATCATATTACTTCTCTAGTCATAAAGCTTTAAAGAGTTCTTTTTTGGAAACGTCTGAAGAGAAAAAAAAAAAAGGTGCCTTGTAAAAATAATTCCACAACCCATATAACTTAAAAAAAACAAAACAAAACACCATATGGACGTGTGAGTAGTTCTGTGTACACTCAAGTAATCCAAACAGTGGCTCGTGTTCTCGCCCGCTGAAACTCTCTGTGAAGGTCAAGCATTAAAAGAACTCAAGTCAGATTCTACTGAAAGGAAGGAGGTGGGAAAAGAAATATTTATTATTCCCAATGGAGAGTGTTAGTGACCTAAATCAGCTTAATTACTTCTCACTCCCTTGGCCACAGCATGGAGGAAAGAAGAAAGACAGTCTCCTCAGTATGGTGGGAAGGGGAAGTGCTGTGCCTTGCTGGCGTCTAGAAGAGGCAATCTCAGGCTGTATCTTACACGCAATGTGGAAGTTTCTGCAAATATACAGAGAAGATGGCCAGAAAACTACCCTTATTGAGTAACCAAGCACCTCGCATAGTTGATTGAGCTCATTGAACTGTCACACCTCACATCTACCCTGAACAAGTAGTGTTACTGTTCCAGCTTCACAGATGAGAAAACTGAGTTTTAGAAAGTGTGAGTAATTTGTCCAAGATGACACAGCTAATACATGGTGGATGACCAGGATTCAAACCCAGATCTGACTGACCCTACAAAACTCATGCCTGCCTCCCTCAGCTTGTTTTAAATTAGAAATTAGCTCAAATCAAATTTTTTTCCCCAAAATTTACAAACTGTTTGGAGGTTCAAACCCTTAAGTAAAAGAGACAAAATCCTGGTGCTCGGAGGCTGTCCTGGAGTAAAGCAGCAAAGTCTGAAAAATGAAATTACAATGGAAAATCCAGCTGTAATTTATTAACAGTATTACCTAACATCTTTGTCATCATCTGTTTTTAAAAGCACTTCTGTGGATTCAAACTAATCTGATCTTTACAAATTGCTGTGCAACAAAGAAATAATGTCAGTTTCATTTTATCGCCAAGAAAACTGTTTCTAAGATTGCTTAAGGGACATGCCTAAGGTCATGCAATGAGGAAAGGGCAGAACTGAGATCAGACCTGAGATTTCTGTGGTATCATGCGCATTAGAACTGGCCCCCAATAAGCGTCATCCTCTCAAAATTTTACTATCTTCAGAAGGGATCGTTAAAAAAGTCAGAGCAAATCTTCCGTAAAAGTGCTTCTTTAAATAAAAAGATTTCCTTGTTATTTCTAAATTCATTTAATAAAAATGATAACTATAAATTTTATCTTAGAGAGTAAATAACTCACTTAGGCCAGATAGTTCTTAAGTGTACAGAATGTACTGGTTACCAATTGTGAATGCCTTAGCTCCTATTTTAAGAATCTTAATTAAAAAAAAATTATTGATAAATGGTAATCATTTATTAAATTATTAATAATTCTTAAATCTTAACTTTAAGGATCTTAAAATCAGAGCTAAGAGCCCTACTAAGTGAGGGGATTGGCTATATTTACTATATTCTGGATCATCCTACTTCAAATTGTGAATTTAATTTCTGAGTTTCCATTAGTGCTTCTGAAAAGATGCACCATTAGTGCCCCATTCACGTTCTTTGTCTCTGAAATTAGGAACTGGAACTAATAGTACTAGAGAAACTGTTTCTACATATTACTTATAGTTATGGAGTTACACAATCAAACCCATCAAGCTGCATCCTAGTAATCCATACCTAATGGCTACATTCAGTAAACTATGGTATGTGAAGAGGTAGCGTGTTTCTTAAATGACTCAGGTCTTTGTTTACTAATGACTAAATCATAAACAGAAGAAACCGCACGTGCATAGCCTGAAAGACAATAATACTACCAATATAAATTAGAGGCTTCCTCTAAACCAGATACTGTCATTAATCTCACATAGAGCTTTCTGTCTGGTAAAATGTGCATTAATTGGTTTACATTTCTGTTGTTGCTGTTGAGGAAAGAGAGCAAACCAACCAGCCCAGGCAGCATCCTGGGAATTTCAGACACATACATATACACACACCCCCCCTTTAAAGACAAAGTGAGTACATCTAGTTTTAAAGAAAATACTAATAAGAAACAGGTTGAGAGTATTTTCACTAGTTTAAAAATAAAGCATTCTACCCTTCCAACAAAATAAATAAATAAATTTCAGGATATAGGAACAGGAAGCAGCAGCTGGATTTATCATCCTTCATTTCCTCTGAGAGGTGCAGTAAGGAACTCCCCATCAAGACGAAAGCGCTGGAAAGGTTAGCCTCCTCCTGCCAGGACCCATACAACCCACATGCTATGGCTGACTATTAAGACAGTGGATGCTGGCTGGCCACTTCAAAAATCAAACTGCTCAACAACAAAAATGACATAAATTATAAATTAAAAAAAAAAACCCAAACTGCTTACTTTATAAACCTTTCTGTGTCTAAGCCCCACATTTTGCTAACATGAGAACCTTCACTACTCTAACTAGATTTTAAACACACATATGTAATTGCCCAGCTCACAGAAGAGCTTAGTTCTGTGTTCTCATGAAGGCGCCTCTCCTAGGCTCACTCTGGAAGGCGTCTGGAGCCTGACTCCACAACAGAAGACAAAGAAACACCCTAGAGGACTATGCAGCCTTGCTCTGGAGGCTGTGATGGAAAGAAGCAAGAGAAGTGGGTTTCTGTCTTCCTTCAGCACTTGGGATCTTGGCTGAGTACTTAATGACACTCAGCCTCAGTTTTCCTATGTATGAAATGGCCATGAGGCCACCTACTTCACAGGGGTATAATGAGAAGTAAATGAGATGATAAATGTTAAAAATACTTTGTAAATCATAGCTCTTGTGAAAACGTTTGTAAACTACACATAAATAATAACAGACTAGAGTAATAGCAATATAAATACCTGCATAAGGGGTTTTTCCAGTTCCAAAGCTTCTACTAATATTATCATTTTGTTTGATCTTCAAAATAACACAGTAAGATAACTGGAGATGGCATCATCATCATCTTCATCCTTATTATTATTTCATAAATGAGCTAGCCTGGAGGAGCACATTAGGGAAACTGTGTCATAAATCCTTAGCAAGAGTTCAAATCATCTGCAAGCCTTTCTGGCAGTGTGTGAGTGCTAAGTAGAAGACTGGGAGTTAAAGAAAGCTGCACACATTCCAGGTCTGCTACTCTGGGCAAGTCCCTTAACCTCTCCGGGCAACGTGATTCATCCATTTGTCACCAGGTTGGTGGGAGACAAAAATAAATTAGACCTGATTCCAGCTCTTGAAGAACTCAGTTAGAGGCAAGGGTGGGGGAATGGAAAGAAGTGACATATAAACAGATTAATTACTAAGCAGTAGTTGCTTAAAATATAGAGTATGGACAAAATGCGATGGGATCAAAAAGCAGGAAGTGACTAAATTTGTCTGGGGAACTCACGGAAGAATTCCTCTAATTTGTAAACTGGGAAAAGAAGGAAAGAAACCAGACCAATGTACTTGTCAAAGTCCCTTTTGAGAATAAAACTTTTGAGAAAACTTGGGCTTAGAGACAGTCAGCACTTTCAACATACAGTGCAATTTCTCTTATACAATTGTTCATAGCTGATTTAAATAAATTAGACATCTCAAGTGCTAGAAAATGTTAAAAAAAAAAAAAAAAAAAGATCCAGAAGATTACTCAAATACAAATCATACTCTTGTATCTGTGGAAGCTGGGTCTACAGTTAGCCCAGCATGCAGTAACAATGAGACTAGCACCTAGAACCAGGCCACCTAGGTTGAACTCTTGACTTTCCTAGTTACTAGCTGTGTGAACTTGGGCAAGTTACTTGATCTCTCTGTGTTGCAGTTTCCTCCCCTGTGAGATAGTGGTGGTAGCAGTAGCAGTAGCAAAAATACTAGAAATACCACCAAATCTCACAGGGCGTTGTGAGGGTTAAATGAGCTAATATTCACAAGTGCTAAGAATAATGCCTCACACAAAATAATGCTGGATGCTGTTATTTGCAAAAGAGTAATAATTAGCATTTTTGCTTGCTATTCTACAATATGGAGCCCTGGTGGTGCAGTGTTTAAAGAGCTTAGCTGCTAACCAAAAGGTCAGCAGTTCAAATCCACCAGCCACTCCTTGGAAACCCTATGGAGAAGAAGCTCTACTCTGGCCTATAGAGTCACTGTGCATCGGAATTGACTTGACGGCAATGGGTTTTTTTTGGTTGTTGTTGTTATTCTAAAATACTCTCTTAATGCTGAAAGTTCCAAATTTGGTCTCAATTCACAATTTTGATCTTCAACTCACTTACTTTGGTCATCAGGAAAGACCATCACTAAAAAAAGGGCATCATGTTTGGCAAACTAGAGGGCCAACGAAAACAAGAGAAACTCTCAATGAGATGGACTGGCACACAACCGCAAGAATGGACTCAAACATACCATCCATTATGAACACAGCAAACAACTTTCTACATAAGGTCGCCATGAGTTGGAGCTGACTCCATGGCAACTAACAGCAACAACAAGAAATTTATAGAAGATCAATTAGCCAATGAGGAAATATAGGTTGTCTGCTTCAGAAATACACTTAAGCAAAATACAGGGGAATATAACACA